TTAAGTTAAGTAACCTGGTTGTTAAGTGAGTCTGGTTTCCCCGTTGACGTTGCTCGTCAGAAGATCACAATAGGGATCACGTGACCTTGGGACACGTCAACCGTCATAAATATGAATCAGTTGTCAAGCATTGGGATGTAAATCATGTGACCCTGCAATGGTCCTAAGTGTGAAAAAGGGTCATAGGTCACTTTTTTCAGCTCCGTTGTAACTTTGAACGGTCACTAAATGAACTGTGGTAAGTCGAGGACTACCTGTCGCTCCATCTTAAGAAAAGATGTGGAGCACGTTGAAGGCCTCCAGCATCTGTTGCCTAGGGCAGGGGTAAGCAACCGTGGCTCTTTTATGACTCATGGACTTCAACTCCCAGAATTCCTGAGCCAGCCGTGCTGAGGGGAAAGGGAGAGGTTTCCAAGCTGAGCCATGCTGGTTCAGGAATTCTGGGAGTTGAAGTCCACAAGTCATAAAAGAGCCAAGGTTGCCTACCCCTGGCCTAGGGTGATGGTTTCATTCTGCCTTGTGGCTGGGCTTGTCCTGCCTTCAAGGACTCTTCCAATTCCACAGGAAGGTTCCTATAATATATTAGTTAAATACACATGATTTTTAGCCCATAAATCCCTGAGAAAGCACTTTAAAAGCATATGAAATAGAGTTAGTCCTCAACTTACAAGCATTCATTTAGTGACCATTTGAAGTTACAACGGCACGAGAAAGTGACATGACCTTTTTTCACACTTATGACCATTGCAGCATCCCCCTGGTCTCGTGATCAGTGTTAGTGTGCTTGCCAACCAACACTTATTTATGACAGTGTCATGTGGTTGCCATTTGTAACTTTCCTAGCTGGCTCCCCCCAAGCAAAGTCAATGGGGGAAACCCAGTCCACTTAACGACCACATGATTCACCTAACAATCGCAAGTGATTCCCTTAACAACGGTGCCAAAAAAGGTCATAAAATGAGGCACAACTCACTTAACAACTGCCTTGTTTAGTAACAGAAATTTGGGGCTTAACTGTGTCAGACCTGCCCCCTCAGGAAAGCAAGACTCTTGAATCCATTGAGTTGAAACAAAAGAACTTTTACTGAGAGAATGTGGATGCAGTAAAGTCAGGCGGAATCTGAGGGTCCCACGCAAAGCACAAAGCAATTATTTTGGTTTCTCCAGTCCCAAGTCCCGCTTCCCCCTGACCAGCCCACCGGCAGCCAATGAGATGCCGAGAAGAAATTTTGAGACCGCTGAGGTGTTAGGCAGATAACAGTTCACATTCAGGGTGCGATGGCCTTGGAACCTGGCAAAAAACAGCTGGGAAGGAGTCTGTCTCATCTCCGAAGACAATCCCCCTCCCTAATTCCCAAGTGAATAGCAAAGCAGAAAATCCCAAGCATGCCATCCCCCCTCCCCCCACAGCACAATGGCAGGACACCAGAGTTGAGGAGTACCTGTGTGAACTCACCCCTTTAAAGCAAACCAGGTGTTCTTTTAGCCCCAATAGGCTGTTTCCAACAAGGGTCATCTTAAATGATTTTCGCAGATTTCAGATAGGTAACCAAGGTAAGACAAATTAAGACTTTTCCATCTCAACTGGCTGCTTTCAGGGTTTCGTCTGGAAAGTATAAATGTGTTCTGATTGCTGGCAGGGTGTATTTCCCTCCCAATTTGGATTATCGTATCTTCTTATTAATTTTAATGATAATAATAATAATAATAATAATAATAATAATAATAATAATAATAATAATAATAATAATAATACTTTAATTTATACCCCGCCCTTCTCCCGAGGGACTCAGGGCGGCTTACAGGTAAGTAAAAACAGAGCTATACAATAAATATCTAAAAACCAAATTAAAATATATATTAAATAAACCTGTTATTAGAAAAATTATAA